TGCAAAGAGTCGACGCAACTGAGCGACTTTCATTCACTGGAGGTCCAGTGGTTAAGACTCTGCACTTCCTGTGCAGAGAGTGCGAATTTGATCCTTGGTCAGGGAATTAAGATCCCATGTGCTGTGAGGCATAGTTGAAAAAATTAAAAACAAATAAATTTTTAAAAAATGGAAATAAGATCAATTCCTAGGTATTCATTCATACAAATGCATTTGAATGTCAATATACATATATAATTTTTAGTTTAAAAAAATAGAAATAATAAATCTTTCTCATAGAATTGTTGTACCTGGTAAATAATAGATGCACAGTGCCTGCTTGAATATACATAAGGTGTTTGGGGTTGTGCTGGGGCATCACAGCAGCTCATGAAATTTAAGCATTGGTATAACAATGATAATTGGTGTAGTAGTCGTGCTAATGAGGGGTAGATACTGGAGTCAGACTTTCTGAGTTACCTGGCTCTGCTACTTATCAGCTTTGTGACTTTAGGCAAGTTAGTTGACTTCTCTGAGCCTCAGTTTTCTTGACTACAAAATGGAGATGATAGTAAAACACGGTTATGAGGATGACATGACTAAGAACTTAGAAGTGAGCTAGATGCAGGGTGAGCACTGGGTGAGTACTGTTATGTTATCATGAATAGTGTATTGTTCCACTGCTAGAGAGTATTCTTCCTGAGAGCAGGGACTTGATCCTATTCTCCACTATATCCCAGTGTCTGCAACAGTGCTTAGCACACAATAGGTGCAAGTAAAATTTCACCAACTTTGTTGAATAAATGAAATGGAAGGAAAAGAATCATTTCCGTGTTTCTCTGCAGATGGAAAGATCCTGAGCCCTTCTATATACTAAGAACAGTGATAAGTCTAGAATGGAATCCCCTCTCCCCTGCCTCCAAGTAGGTGACTTTCATGTTCACATCTCTTGCCCCAAATATACACAGCACTCAGCAATGGGAAGCAAGGGTTCCTTGGTTCCCTATGAACTCGCAGTACTAAATAGGAACCCTGTCTCCACCATGCATCTCCCAGTAGGGTCACCCCTGGCTCAGGAGCCTGGAATCTCACTGGAGACTCACCGTCAGTTCATTTGCATCCCTAGGGCCTTCCCAGGGAAGGTGGATGAAATAGTACTGATGCATGTAGATGACACCAATTATGCCACTTTGATGGAGCTTTGTGTTCACACATCTGACTGAAGGGGAGAATAAAGGGGTGCACACAGTCTAGGGCACACGGGCTACTGAGGGGCAGAGCTAGGTGAGAAGATGAGCCAGCTAAGGAACCATGGAGCATTCCTGGATACTAACTTAGGCTGGCAGCGTGAGATCAATCTCAAGGAATTATTGATCGTCACCAGACTGCCTCCATTGTAGGGCATGCCAATGAACTGTGGGGGTGCCGAGAAGGGCCAGGCCTGAATTGCTCTACAGAATAAACCTTGCAGTCCTAGTACCATTGCTTCTGTGCTTGAAAGCCAGTTGAACTTTTATCCTGCTTCCCAAAGTGGTCAGGTCTGGGGCGGGTAGTGATGTGTCAGTGTGTACAGCTGTAGCTTAAACATGGTATGTATTTCAAAGCTGGTTAGAAACCCTTTTAAGACAATTTAATACAAGTATCAGTGAAGTAGGACGATCAACTGTTTCATAGATCTTTAAGTTAAAATACAGGACTTCAAAAAATGTTAAGTCCACTCCAGTCAGATCATCCAGATTTTCAGAGAGCTTGTTTGCTTTTCTCTCTGCAATTAGAAATATTCTGGCAGACACATTTATGAAGTACTGGTATCCTTAAAACCCTGAAGCGGGACCCAGCCAATTGGCCATCTCCCTTTAATTCTTCCTGTGAGACTGATTTCTGGAAGGAGTTGACATCTTTGATCTTGAACTCCCTCAGAGAAGCAGGCTAGAGTTAAGCTATTATTAGCACTGATGGGGCATTTAGAAGGGGAGTTTTTTGGTTTCTGGGACAAAACCCAATCAAAACTAGTTAAAGCCAAAAAAGGACACTGTTTGGCTCACAGAATTTGGAAACACAAGGATGGATTCATGGATTCATATGCGGTCATCAAAGCGTACACACACTCTCTCTCTTTAAATCTCTTCTCTCTCTTTCTCTATCTGGCCTCTTGATATTTTTCTATAGAGGGACTTCCTTTATGCAGCTGGGCAAAAGTGGGAGGGTCATAGAAATTTACACACAAGGCAACCTTGTCCATGGCCAGCCCAGAGACACTAGAGGGCTCAGATTTCTCAGGGTGTGCCCATAAAATCCCAGGGCAGGGCTCTGATTGGTCCAGTCTGGCTCATGTGCATGTGCCCAGGCCAATCACAATGGCCAGGAAGATGACACACTGTGATTGGCCTGACCTGGATTATGTTTTCCTTTAAGGAAGGTGATGGGGCTGTAGATAACTGGACAGCCCGACCAGAACCACATGCTCCCCAAAGGTAGAAGGGAGTCGTTTACCAGAGTTGGGGAGAAATGGGGAGCATGGGGCAGAAATAAAGCACAGATCTACACCACCTAGGAAAAGGTGTTCACTTTGGAGGAACAGGAAGGCACCTAACATTTTCTTGTGAAGTTAGCTCCAGGTAGGTGTAGGCTTCATTTAAAGACAGGTTCCACATTTTCAGAGACCTTATCTGCCTTCTCAGGAGAATGTTAAAAATTAGAAAAGGACACTTGTTTTCATGACCAGAACTTGACTTTGGTTTTGATTTCTCTACATGTTAAGAGGGTGGGAGAATGTTCTGGAGCCAGTGGCTCAGTCGTGGTGCCAGTTTCTATTCTGTGCATCCAGCAGTCCACAGGCTGCCTGTGAAGCTTGACGGGTGCATTAAAGAAGAAAGATTCATGGACAAAACTTTTGAAATATTTAATAGTTTTAAGCCAGAGGCCACAAAGCAATGGCATGCTTTCTTTGGCCAGCACAGAGTTTAGGAAAAAAAGAAAGACAAATGCTTGCCAACATTTAAGAATTAGAACATTTCACATGAAAACATGGATTTCCGGCTTCTCTAGGAAAACCATCAGATCTAGCCTTGCTAGGCCCAGAGTTGCACACAGTCACAGTGGGCTGGAGCTGAGAACAGGATGTAAAACTCTAGCTTGCCACAGTCTCCCCCATTCCCTATCGCTTACTTCATTTGTTCATTCTCATTTCCTCTTTGGCCCCTGTAAGCATTTGCTTTTGCATGTCCTATGTTTTACAACAACAAATTTCCCAAGCAAAATCTCTGAAAAACTAAGTCTTTCTTTTTCTAGCTTTGTGACCTTAGGCAAGTTGTTGTTGTTCAGTTGCTAAGTTGTGTCCAATTCTTTGTGACCCCATGGTCTGCAGCATGCCAGGCTCCTCTGTCCTTTACTATCTCCTGGAGTCTGCTCAAACTCATGTCCATTGAGTTGGTGATGCCATCCAACTATCTCATCCTCTGTCACCCCCTTCTCCTCTTGCCCTCAATCTTTCCCAGCATTAGTCTTTTCCAATGAGTTGGCTTCACATCAGGTGGCCAAAGTATTAGAGCTTCAGCTTCAGCATCAGTCCTTCCAATGAATATTCAGGGTTGATTTCTTTAGGCAAGTTACTTCTCTCTATATCTCAGTTTTTAGATCTGCAAGTTGGGGATGAAATACTACATTTAATCAATCCTTACTGAACATCTGTTTTTCTGGATGCTGTGAACAAGTAGACATGGTGGGGGCAGGTGAGAGTAAGTGTTAGTGAGTCAAGGAGGTGGGAAGCACACTTTGGGGAGGCGACAAAATGACATACTGTATCTACATCCAGTAGATCCTGGACAGTAGTCCAGGGGTTGGCAAACTACGGCCCATGACACCTGCTATTGTAAATAAAGTGTTCCTGGTCCACAGTCACAGCCATTCACTTACATACTGTGTGTAGCACTGCAGCTGTCTGCGTACAGCCTCAAAGTTGAGTAGTTGAAACACAGACCCTAAGACCCATGAAGCCTGAAATATTTATCACCTGGGCCTTTAAAGAAAAAGTTTGCCAGCTCCTGCCTTAGCCCAAAGCCTGGATAAATAGAAGGCATCAATTGCAATTTTTTATTAGTAACGGTCCCCTCCCTGCCTCACTTGCTGATCCTTCCAGGCCGGGAGGCCTTAATCGCTCACTAGTCTCTCTCCCCAACAACCCTTCTGTTTACTTGTTCAGCATCTGTGCTCCTTGTTCAGGTAAACTGCTGAACCCACACTGGCTACTTCCTCATATAGATTTCATGGAAAGTTTAACGTGGCCCTAGTAGGGGCAGGGATGCAATTCACCCACTGTCCCTTTCTGTGTGTCGAATCAAGTTAATCAGACCAAATCAAACACAGGATTAGGCAGGCCACAGCTTGAAACCCCACATAGAAAAGGCCGGATCAGTGTTAGCTTACATTTTTCGATGGGGTGTGTGGCAGACTTGCTGAGGTTTTACGGTCTCATCAATGATTCTATCCCTGTGCCAGCCCAACTACGTGTCAGAGACTTCTGTCTTCACCCCAGCAGCATTAGCACAGACCTTCGGCCTGGGTGGGGTCACAGGGAGAAAGCAGGTGTTGCCCAAGAGTATGGATCAACAGCGAAGAGTCTTGTGGGTAACCACGGAGGTCAGCAGAGTCCAAGGGCAGCGCCCGCTCCATGGGTGTGTGACCTGGGTGGTTATACAGGTCCCCATGCTCAGAAAGACCCTGCTCTGTTAATGCTTTTTGTCAAAGTCTTGAAATTCTTTTTTTTTTTTTTTAATTTTTAGTGTTTGGCCACATCACTTAGCATGTGGTATCCTGGTTCCTTGACCAGGGATTAAACCCGAGCCCTGCTCGTGGTTCCAGTGGGGAGAGAAGGAGGAAGCAGGGAGCGGGGCGGTTGCGGGGGACCCACCGCGGCTTCTGCCACCGCCGCCACCGCCATCTCTGTGCTCGTGGCGTGGGAAGGGAGGTGTGAGTCCCGGGCGCGAGCCGGCGGCGGCGCCGCTGCGGGAAGGTAGGCGGTGGGAAAGCGATGGCGGTTATAGATAAACTCAACATCGACAGCATCATCCAACGGCTGCTGGAAGTGAGAGGGTCCAAGCCTGGTAAAAATGTCCAGCTACAGGAGAATGAAATCAGAGGACTGTGCTTAAAGTCCCGAGAGATCTTTCTCAGTCAGCCTATCCTGCTAGAACTTGAAGCACCACTCAAGATATGTGGTGATATCCATGGGCAATACTATGATTTGCTTCGACTTTTTGAGTATGGTGGTTTCCCGCCAGAAAGCAATTACCTGTTTCTTGGGGACTATGTGGACAGGGGAAAACAATCACTGGAGACTATCTGTCTCTTGTTGGCTTACAAAATCAAATATCCCGAGAATTTTTTTCTTCTCAGAGGAAACCACGAATGTGCCAGCATCAATAGAGTTTATGGATTTTATGATGAATGTAAAAGAAGATATAACATTAAACTATGGAAAACTTTCACAGACTGCTTTAACTGTTTACCGATAGCAGTCATCGTGGATGAGAAAATATTCTGCTGTCATGGAGGTTTATCACCAGATCTTCAATCTATGGAGCAGATTCGGCGAATTATGCGACCAACTGATGTACCAGATCAAGGTCTTCTTTGTGATCTTTTGTGGTCTGACCCCGATAAAGATGTCTTAGGCTGGGGTGAAAATGACAGAGGAGTGTCCTTCACATTTGGTGCAGAAGTGGTTGCAAAATTTCTCCATAAGCATGATTTGGATCTTATATGTAGAGCCCATCAGGTGGTTGAAGATGGATATAAATTTTTTGCAAAGAGGCAGTTGGTCACTCTGTTTTCTGCGCCCAATTATTGTGGAGAGTTTGACAATGCAGGTGCCATGATGAGTGTGGACGAAACACTAATGTGTTTTTTTCAGATTTTAAAGCCTGCAGAGAAAAAGAAGCCGAATGCCACGAGACCCGTCACACCTCCAAGGGGTATGATCACAAAGCAAGCAAAGAAATAGATGTCATTTTGATACTGCCTAGTTGGGACTTGTAACATATAGTACATAACCTTCATTTTTAAAACTGTAATGTGTATTGGTCAGCTTGCTCAAATAGTGTTTGTGGGGCTCCCCCTTCCATTTTTGACTTAATGAATGGTATTTGCTGGTTATAACAGCAAATGATAGATTCTCCACTCCCAAGGAAAAATGTTTTGTTTAGTTCCTGTTCCTTTTACAAACAACATTAATGATGGTGTTAAAGCTGTACACTCAGGACAGTGTCCCCTGTCTAAGGGGTGAGTGTACAACTGATCTTTTTTTAATTCAGTACAGCCCATGAATAATGTAAATGCTCATTTTCTTTAGGATATAAAGAGAGCCCTAGGGTGCTCAATCTGTACATGTTATTGTCATAAAATGCATACTGTTGGATACAAACCACTGTGAACTTTTTTGTTTCAAAGGGATTGCTTTTTTTTTTCCCTCTCGTTGTCTTATCATGTACAAACTAGTTTTTATAGCTGTCAACATTAGGAGTAACTTTCAACTTTGCCAGCATCACTGGTATGTATATTTAATTAAAGCACACTTTCCCCTACAGTATACCTAAAATGACGATTAAAGCCATTATTTTAAATGTTTGTGACTCTTCCTGAAGCCAAAGTTTCTGTTGAAATATATATTGACGCTCCTCTAAGTAAGTACAAGGTGGCATGGTTGTGTACACCTGTCACCTTTATGGGGATTCAAAAACAGGTTTTTGAGTTTGAATAGCAGTTAGTAACATAGTGCTGTTTAAGCTATTAATGATTAAAGTTAATTACATTTTGTATGATTTCCATATAGTCTATTCATTAAGTAATAATCTTTTTACAGTTACATCAGGCCTGAACCCGTCCATTCAGAAAGCTTCAAGTTATAGAAACAATACTGTTCTATACGAGTGACCGATTATGCATTCTTTGGCCTACATTCTTTATTCTGCGATGAAGTTGAGGCTTATAAGTCAAAACAAAGGAACTAACTTACTATCCACCAGTTTATACAGAACTCACAGTATCTATGACTTTTTTAAACTAAGATCTGTTAAAAAGAAATCTGTTTCAACAGATGACCATGTACAATACCATGTGGTGAAAATTAATTCAGACTTATTAAATGATGAACTTGTTAAATCCTCTCAGTGTCAATTTATCAGCACAATACACACAGGAGAACTGTTGATGGCATAGTGAATAGATTTTAATGGATAAATTGCTCTGGAAACAAAACAAAACAAAACAAAAAAACCGAGCCCTGTGCAGTAAAAGCATGGGGTCTTAACCACTGGAATACCAGGAGAGTCCTTTGAAATTCTTAATAATTTTAAACATGTGCATTTTGCACTGGGTCCTGCAGATTTTGTAGCCAGTCGTGACCTTGGGGGTATGGGCTTGCTTAGGTTTCAATTTTGGAGGGGTTGCAGGGGGTCCTGTGGGAATTAAAAGTGATCAGATTTCCTAGTGGGCCTTAGAGCTCCTGGTTCTGCACTCCAGACAGTTTTGAGGGGAGGGCAGTGGAGGGTAGGAAGGGAGTTAATAATGTGGGATTGGAGACCAAAAGGACCCCTCCTCCTTCTCTGGTAGCTGATGGGGCAAGAGCAGGACAAAAACTGCATCGTTTATAGGGACATCAGTGGCTTCCCTGGTGGTTCAGTGGTAAAGAATCTATCTGCCAATGCCAGGAGACACGGGTTCAATCCCTGGGTTGGGAAGATCCACTGGAGGAGGAAATGGGAACCCAAACCAGTATTCTTGCCTGGAAAAATCCCATGGACAGAGGAGCCTGGATGGCTACAGCCCATGGAGTTGCAGAGTCAGATATGACTGAGCACATGCATGTCATGCACCCCCAAGAGAACTCTAAGTGGGCACCCTTGTGTGGGATATGAGAATCAGCCAGGTAAGGAATTTTCCAGAGGTCACAGAGCTAGTAAGCATGGAGAGTGGGGATTTGGCTGTCTGAGCTCAGAACTCCTGGATACGTTATTTAATCTCTCAGTTTCCAAGTCTGGAAAAACGGAAGCCAATAAAATTAATTTGGAGCATCCTTGGGAAGATTGGAGAAGGGATATATAAGGGTCTAGCACACAGCGTGAAGTTCATGGTCACTAGGTAACAACTGTGATAATGATGATGGTGATGATGACAACAATGATGGTGGTGGTGGTGATGATGATGATGGTAGTGGTGGTGATGATGATGGTAATGGTAGTGGTGGCGAGGGTGACACCAAATCCTGTACTGTTTCTAGCTCTAGCTTTGCTGACCCTTATCCACCACACTAAAAGGGCATTTTGTCCCACAGAAAAAATGTGGAGTAATGTCATGTTGCTCCCTGAGTGTATTTAGTTCCTGTGGGTACCATAGCAAGTTATCACTCACTGGGTGGCTTAAAGCAACAGAAATATATTTTATCATAGTTCTGGAGGTGAGAAGTCCAAAATGATTCCAATACTGATTCTTCTTGGAGACTGAGGGCAAACTCACCCATACCTCTCCCCTAGCTTGTGGCAGCTGCAGACAATCCCTGGAGTTCCTTGGCTTGTGGCCTCACCTCTCCAGTCTCAGCCTCGTCTTCTCTTGGCCTTCCCCTCTCTGTGTCTGTGTGTCCCTTTCTAGCTCTTATAAAGACACTCTTGTTTGATTTAGGGTCTATCTTAATCAAGGGTGATCTTATTTCTATCCTTGCGTGTGTGTGTGCTAAGTTGCTTTAGTCATGTCTGACTCTTTGCTACCCCATGGACTGCAGCCCACCAGGCTCCTCTGTCCATGGGGTTTCTCCAGGCAAGAATACTGGAGTGGGTTGCCATGCTCTCCTCCAGGAGATCTTCCCAATCCAGGGATCGAATCCTCATCTCTTATGTCTCCTGCATTGGCAGGTGGATTCTTTATCATTAGCGCCACCTGGAAAGCCCTATTTCTATCCTTACCTGAATTAAATCTGCAAAAACTCTATTTCCAAATAAGGTCTCATTCTGAGGTCCCAGGTGAATATAAGTTAGGGGGCGGGCATGCAATTTAAGCCATTCACTGGGGTAGGTCAGTAGGGTTCCAAGGAACTGAGGGGGACCTGTCATGCCCCTGCTCCCTACGGGCCCCCAGGCAGCTGTCACAGCGGCTGTTGTTAGTGCTGTGGAAATTCCGGTGGATTTGTCCACGGCACCTCTTCAAGCCTCAAGGATGATGACTCACCCAGGAGTCATCCTGTCGTGTGCCGGCCCAGGGAGCTCTTGGGTGCGCCCGGCCCCAGAGGTCCAGCAGCCCCCAAGAAACGGGAGCTTCCAGTGAGGCCCAGCAACCCCTCTCTGGGGGGCATGTGACCTCAGAGGCTGCATGTTGGGGGCCAGGCTGGGCTCTGGCCACATTCACCTGTCTTTCCTTCTTTCAAATCAAATGTTGGTAAAGGAAAGTGCAGCTTGCTATCCCTGCGGGCAGGCTGCAACCCGTGGAGGCAGCTCGGGCGGTATGTGGGCACCCTCGCAGTGCCGGGAGGATTCAGCCGGGTGCAGTGATGTCCCCTGGACGGGCAAGACTGCTCCGAGGTGGATGTGGCCTCTAAAGTTTATTCTGTGTGTTGGGAGGGGACAGTGTGGCCAAGAGAGAAGGGGGAGAGAGGTTAGATCATGAGGGCACAGCTCGCCTTTCTTAAGAGTGATGTAAACAGAGCTCTGTTGGAAGGGGGCCCCTGTTCCCCACCATTTCAATTTGGGATACCCCTCAACCATGCCCACATCCCTGAGTTGGCAAGAAAACACCTGAGAAAACCTCTATTTTTTTTTTTTTTTGAGAGAAAGCAATACCCAGCTTCAGGTGTGGGGGTGGTGTTTGAGGCCATTTTTCTCAAGTGTGTTTGGTTCAGGAGGGGGCTGTGTGTTTGGTGGGAGGGGGTGGCATGAGGGTGACTGCAGATACTGATGTTCTTCACCTTGTTTGTGGAGTTGGGAGTCTTTAGGATGTCCCCCATCCATCAGGATCCTGATCCTAGGATCTGGGGAGCACAGAGGCTCTGGGTGCCCTTGGAAGCTGGAGAGGGGTTCAGAGAAAAGCTGGCGATTTCTTTGAAATTTGACTTTCCTTAAAAACGTGGAATTTGTTGTTTTATTAGATGAATGTGGGTAGGGAGGTTTGAGTGTTTCCTGAGTGGCCTGATATGAATGGGAACGTATACTTTTTAATGCCTCTGATAATGATAAGGAGGAGAAAAAACAGAGGAAGGAAGGATGGAAGGGTGGGAAGGAGGGAGAAAAGAGGAGAGAAAGAAGGGAGGAATAAAAAAGACCAAAAGATAATGAAAAAAAGAAGAGAAAGGAGAAAAGAATAGGGTACCAGAGAATCCTCTAAGGAGGTGACATTTAAGCAGAAACTTGTTTGGGCCACAGGAGGCTTCAGGGGCTGAGTTGTCCAGTCGGGGAGCAGGTGCAAAGGCCCTGGAGCTGTTTGAGAAACAGACAAGAGAGCCATGACTGAGCCTGATGGGTTTGGGTCTGAATGAGATGGATGAGATGAGTTTGGCATGGGCAATATCCAGACTACAGGTCCAAATTCCTAGGGGTGCCCAGCAGGAAGACGAGGCAGGCTGAGGGGGGACGTGGCCATCTGGGGTATGTCCACTCACTGGAAGGCTGGCGGCCACCTGCGCACACGGACTTGATATTGCCTGGTCTTCACTTTGCAAGAGAGAGCTGGAATATAGATTGTGGTGTGAATGATGCTGGCTTCGAATGTAGAGACTGGAGAGAGAATTTGCAGACTGAACAGGGAATGTGGGCTGGGGCCACCGGTTCCAATGCTGGATTTGGTCATCATGGACTATTCTGGGCCACACCCATTGTTACCTCTTGATCTGTCCCCAAGTCACAGGAACAGTCCTTTGCTTCGCTATCTATGCAGCTGGCCGAGGGACTTAATCCAAGTAGGGGCACAGCCAGGAGGAAAAGGGTGTGTCTTCCTTAAAAGGCCTTAAATAAAGGACTCCTATTCAGCACCTGAAAAGACCCATGTTTTCAGTGAGTGGCAGCCTGTTCAGGCAGGTCTGTGTGCGCTATGACCTCTCCCAGAAGGGAGGTTTGCTTCATGAAACTTCGCTGTCTCTGCCCATGGAGGAATCTCTTCGGGCAACATCCAACACACTTACCTGCAGTCTCTGCGTTGATGTTGGAGACCCAGGTCCTTAACCTTCCTCTGGGGATTATGAGAAGGGACCTCCTGGGCAGAGTTGGCTCATCCTTGCCTCCAGTGAGGAGAACTGGCACTCAGCCCCCAAGGAGAGTCTGCAGCCAATGCGTCAGTGAGCTTGTGAAGTCACATGGCACTGAGAAGGTGGTTGGTGTCTAGCAGAGTTGTAGAAAGTCACCCAAGTCTAGGTGACAGAAAGTGAACTCTCACTGGGTTAAATAAACAAAAGAAGGTGACAACTTGGTGGACCTGGAGGGCATTGTGCTAAATGAGATAAGTCAGACAGAAGAAGGCAAATATTGTATGCTCTCACCTGTGTATGAATCCCACCCCCCTCACCCAAAAACCCAAGCTCATAGAAGAGATCAGATTGGTAGTTGCCAGAGATGGGGACGGGTTGGGTGGTGGGTGGATAAAATGGATGAAGGTGGACAAAAGGTAGAAAATTCCAGCTGTGAGATAAATAAACCTTGGGGATGTCATGTTCAATGGGTTGACTTTAGTTAACACTGCTGGATGGTGTATTTCAAAGTTGCTAAGGGAGCAAAAGAGGCACAGTGGTAAAGGACTCACCTGCCAATGCAGGAGACACAGGAGACGTGGGTTTGATCCCTGGGTCAGGAAGATCCCCTGGAGGGGGCAATCACAACCCACTCCAGTATTTTTGCCTGGGAAATCCCATAGACAGAGGAGCCTGGCAGGCTGCAGTCCATGGGATCACAAAAGAGTCGGACACAACTTAGTGACTGAACATGACAATTGCAAGCACGAAGAGAGTAGATCCTATATGTTCTCATCACAAAGAAAAAAAAAATGTAACTAATGAGGGGATGTACATTGACTAAACTTATAAACTTATTGTGGTAGCCATTTTGCAGTGTTTACATACATCAAGTCATTATGTTGTACACCTTAAACTTATTCAATGATATGTCAATTGTATTTCAATTAAATGGAAA